TTATAAAAAAGAGTTATGACGGCGTGTTATAACATTTGTCATTTGTAGTATCCTTTGTACATAAAGGAAGGATAAAAAACTGTATAGAAAGGCTTTAGCTTTGCTAAATAAGAATATCTGACTTTTTATTATAATAAATAAGACCATAATCACATTTCTCAGAAAAAATCACCGTAGCGAAAAAAAAATTTGGCAAAAATGTTTAATACTTTGGTCAGGGCATTGATATGAAAAAGAGTAAATTTTTCGGTGAAAAATAGCATTCATAAAAGTCTGATCTTTGAATGCTTGTTATGACTATAATTCTTAATGAATTTCATTAATGTCATCGGTTTTGAATTCGACAGGTATTTAGTAAGCAATATATGTTTGTTTCATATCGATCTAGGAGAATCGAATTTTTGACAAATAAACAGCTAATTCGTTGCTTTGGCTCACTGTGGATCGGCGCGAAAACACATACCGAATTCTCACTTTGCAAGTAACCCCCCTCGATTCGATTCCCGTTTCGCTTTTGGAAAAACTGTTGGAATGTCGTCAGATATTTAAATCTCTCGCCGCCTTTTATTTCACTTACAATTAAATTGGCAAGCCTGCGACGGCTTGTTTTTGCCGCCACCGACAAGGGCGAGCCGTGGCGAGCAAAGAACACTCGGGTTTCAATTTTCGTGTCCACTATTAACACAGTGAGTATTTTCGATTCCGGACTATGTTCCACTGTGAGAAGAATTACACGATGTACATATAAAATAGATTTAACAGCATAAATAGAAAGACAGTATAGATAGAGATTAGCACAGAGTTCAGTTAATATAGTACATAACTAGTTTAATACTTAGGAACATTTGAACACTTCGACACATTAAAACACACACACACACAACCTCCATATATACGCACACCCATGTCTTTATTAAAAACTATTTTTAATACAATTCAGTGAGTGTTTCTATACGGCCCCAATCCGTAAAAACATTGGGTGGTCCTTCGATTCCATATAGACTTTAGACGGCACGAAGTGCAATAATCAGGGCTCGACCAAACCCTAACATGACTTCTGACAGCGTAATGTGCATAGAGAGGTGAGTACGCAGTTCTGGAACATGGGGTGTCATCCGACACGCACTATTGGACCGTGCGAATTTTTTCAGATTACGATGCTAGTGTCACGGGCTTGACTCATCCGGAGCAAACACACCAAATTAACTCAGAACTCGACTCATCGCGGTCAATACCAAACATATCTGCAGTCGACTCTGAGCTTGACTCATCCGGATCAACACTAGAGGATGCCCCAAAAGCCACATAGACCAACTCCCCTACCACTATTCCCACATTGTACCCGGCATATATATGTATACAGCATGTAAAATACGCTATAGTTAGTCGAAAATAAAAAATCAATCCATTTACACCGAAACGCTGTCCAGTTTGTTCGCGGCTACGGTTTACGTGACACTAGCGACAACGCAAAGCGAAGCCTTCTTTGCACTTGCGTTCGGCGAAACGTCGTTGGAATTGTAAGCCACTCCAACATTTAAAGTGCATTGATTTCTGAATCAATAATTTTGCAATATAAATATTTAAATACCTAATATTGTATTTTCATTCTATATAGGGTGTCTCACAACTCGTCTAACTCCCGGAAAGGGGTGGTAGAGGACGTAATTCTGAATAAGATTTCCCTTTGCAAAAATAGGGTCTGAAGCTTCGTTTTTGAATTATCAAGCAAAAACACGGACCAATCAGAGCGCGAGGATTACGCGCGCCCAGAAGCGAGAGCAAAAGGTTCGAGCCTAACAGCTGAACATGATCATGATCAAGTGCCTATGCGCCGAGACAGTGTAAATGTTTATAAAAAGCCTTTACGACAAATTTCAGTTAAATAATGAACAGCACTATTACAAATAATGTTCACATATTCGTTTGTCATGAGTAAGGAACAGAATTAGTTATGTGTAATTAACAGAAGTCGAGTAAATTAAATTTCTGTAACTTTAGATTTACATGAAACTTATAAATCATCCGTAATGATGGCCCACCATAGATTATCCGTAAATAAGTTCTGCAATTTTTTCTCTTCAACGTTTCGCTTCAAATGTTGTCCTAAACTGCCGATTGTGACTCCAAATCTTTCGAGCCTGGAGAAAGCGAGAGCTCTGGACAACGTCTTAGGCCATTCGGACCGTCGCGTCGAGTCAAAGAATCATAAAACAAATAAACGACTCCATTTTCTCGCTGGACAGTCGCTTCCTAGGCATCCGAGAAAACCGTTGTCCCTTTCCTTTTCTAAAAGGGACAGAGACCGTTAAAAGAATTTAGGCTAGTGCGTATTGGAAGTCTGAATGCTATCCTCCAATACTATCCTTTACCATGAGTTGTTGCAAAAGATTGCCATTCTGCAGAAACATCGAAATTATTAAAATGATAAGTTGAATTAATATAATTTCTTTTGCTTTTACATGTTGTAGCTGTTCTGTTAGTCATGTTATCTAGAACCTAACAACTTTCATGATTTTAACATTTTCAAGCTCATGACCGAACAAACAGATCAGAATGATATTACTTCAGAATTAAGTTTAACATATTATCAATAGACTTTTCAAGGTACCAACAGAGTCATTTAATCGCGTACGAAGTCTTCTTGTATAGTTTTGAGGCCAGTGATATAAAATAACCGATCATAATAGCTGAACGCGCGATTCGCCTATGTGAAATGAACCGATCATAATAGCTGAACGCGCGACTCGCCTATGTGAAATAGGGGTACCCCGCGTCCGTTTTCAGCTTGTAGAGACGTCAATTTTCGAGGCTCCATCGTTCAGAAGAGCTCATTTTAAAGGGAAAGCTTCAAAGAATATGACCATATTTTTTATAAATTTTACCCCTTTACGCCCCTCACTGAGAAAAACGCAAAAAAAGAATTTGTTTAAATTTTTCAACATTTTATGACAAATTGACAAAGTTGAAAAAAATACCTTAAAATAGCCCAAACCTTCACGAATAAAACAAAAAAAAATTTAGCTAATTCGGTTTAGTAGTTACTGAGAAAAAAATTCCCAAGTGGACCCCATTTTCGCCAAAATGGGCAAAAATTGCAAACTTTGACGGCCTGTCATTCATTAACAAATTCGAAACCGGCAAAATGATGACTTAAACCCCCCCTAATTTCACATGGACTACAACATATTTCGATTAGAGCAAAATCGGAGATGGTGACTTCCAAAAGTGATCGATTTGGCGTGGAATGACCCATATATCGTAGAAATACGAAACATAAAAACACTTTTGACCCTGGATTTGATTCTGTTAAGCATTTAAACGGACCAATACATACATCTTGAAAATGTAAGTACATACCTCTTTTAATGCTTGGGAGATATTAAAGAAAATTTGCGCCTCAAAAGGGCCAATGAAAAAGTATTTACTGTTTAAGCAACTATGTATATTGTATAAGAAAGGATACAAGCAAACCTATAACCAACTATGTAAATGAATTTATTCGCACGGTAAAAATAATAAACGAAAGCCTATCAATTATGGGAACGAGGAACCAAAGCGGTAATTAATAAGAGAAAATATTATCACTGAAAAACAAGAAAAGGGATTTGAATTATGCCAGATAAAATAGGAAAAAGAAGCAAAAGAAGAAAATTGTCCTAAGGAGGGGGAAGAAGAAGAGCTATTGACGAATAGAGAAAAAACTATTCAACCAATTCCTGTAAGAATGAGAAGCTGCCCAAATCTAGAAAAGACGGAAAGACCGGACAGACCAAGAAAAATATACCAAACAAAATCATACTCCAAAAATAATAAAGAAGACGTAGAAAATCCAATGCGTGTACAAAAGGCTTTAGTTAGATCGGATAAAGAACAATGGCTAGATGCTATGGAACTTGAGTACCGTACGTACGTGAGTTAATTGAAAATCACACATAGGAACCGGTAAGTAGGTCAACAGACAAAAAACTGTTGACAAAATAAATGGGTTTTTAATGTAAAGAACAATCAAGGTGACTCAATCCAAAGATGTAAGGTCAGGCTGGTAGCCGAAAGTGATCAATAGAGAGAAATAATAGACTTCGATGAAGTATTCGCACCAGTAACAAGAATAAAGACTACACGTACACTATTTGGAGTTAGTGTAATTAAAGAAATGCATATACACCAAATGGATGAAATAACCGTATATGTGCATGGAAACTTATCTGATGAAATCGATCATGGAAGAGCTATTAATGTTTGAGAGGTTTGATGCACAAAATATAATTTGCAAATTAAAGAGCCTCTAATGGTCTAAAGTAAGCTGGTCAAAAGTGGTATCGTAAACTGAATAATTTCTTAGTTAGGTTTAAATTTTAATAAAACCCATGCGAATATGTTTGTATCGATTTGAATAACAGCACGAATAATTACAATTTATATTGATGATTTGTTGTTGGCGTCTTCAAACTTAGTAGAAATAAATAGAATTAAGCATTTATTAGAGAGTGAATTTAAAATGAAAAACTTGGGTACGGTGCGGACATTTTAGGTATGCGTGTAGATAGAATAGGTAGTTTAGGAAGTATTCAAGTATTTCAAGAAAAATATGTTGAGAATTTGTCAGAAAGGTTCGGGACGAAGTGCAATCTGGTAAGCGCTCCTTTGCAAATGAATAGTAATATCGATACCACCAAATCAAAAACGATGAGAGACAAAATTGTAAACAAGTCATACAGAGAATTGGTAGGAAGTTTGGAGTATTTGAGCAATGTGACTAGACCCGATGTAGCTCTTACAGTACGCGTACTAAGTTGATTCAGTATGTATCCAATAGAAACACACTGGAAGTGGGCACAACGTGTACTTCGATATTTAAAAGGGACAGTAGATTACAGCTTGAAATATGAGAGAGGAACGATCATTAGTTGCATATTCTAATTGAGTTGCGGACATGAACAATAGAAATTCATGCACTGGATAAATGTTGCAGTTAATGGTGACTCAATTAATTGGCAAAGCAAAAAACAAAGATCGGAGGCGCTATGCACAGTGGAAACTGAGTGCATGGTTCTGTCAGTAAAGAAACTATTTATATGAGAAACTTGTTAAGACATGCGAAAATTTATTCATTGTTACATAATGCGACTGTGGTTTATTGCTGCAATACAAGTGCGATAGGATTAAATAGAAACAGTGTGTATGGACGCAATGAACAAATAGATATCAGGTACCATTTCTCTCGGGAAGCTCAAGAAAAAAGGGAAATTAGTGTTAAATACTTATATACAAATTAAATTACTGCGTATATACATACAAAACCATTGAGCGGAGTTAAGTACTAAATATGTACTCGGTTATTAAATTTAAGTTACTTTTATAAATTAATTGTGGAACACAAATTAAAATAAGATAAGCGTCTTTCTTCTTACTAACGCAATTTTAAATTAAATTAGTTAGCAAAAAAAGAATATTTAACGAAACTGAATGTTTTATAAATTGTAAAATAACTTACAACGGCGACAGCATCCGATGCAAGAATTTCATCCTGTGTAAGCACCACGAAGTAAGCAACATTTGCCAAAACATAAATCACAGTCACCAGCGGCAATGATATACAAATTGCTTTTGGAAGATTCCTGAAAGCATGATAATTATTAATCGTAGTCTTTATACAGGATCATTTTCGTTTACAAAGGAATTCCGCTATATGTCTCTATTTTATGCGGTCCACTGAACGCGTACATCAACAAATATCGTGAATTTGTCAATTTTATTGCAAATTTTCAAAGTAACAAATATGGATATTTTTGAAGTCATATATTTTTAAATTTGCTAATTAGGAGTTTTAAAATTTACGAACGTCGCTATTTGAAAATTTAGGAATATACAAATACGTAAAGTTGAAAAGTGAGAAATTTGTAAGTTAGGAGATTTAAAATGTTTAAATTTGTAACTTCGAAAATTTCCAAATATTTAATATAAAATACATGAAACCACATAGAACCAACACTCCACATAAATTAAAAATAACAAGTTTATATTTTAGAAAAAATTAAATTAAACCTTAAAGCACTGGTTTGGTTAAATTATCAATACTTTCATAAATTATTGCGTAACCCGTTATCAATCGAAATAAACTTAAATGAAAAAATCCGTATCTACATACTCAAATATCTCAGCATGGCTATTTATTGACAAACTATTGTATTATAATTTCATACATTTATTATTTATTATAAATAAAATTTCAGCCAGAGTTTATTAAAACAATTGCAATTACAATACACTTTACTTCTCAAACGAAGTATATTAAAAAAATTAGTATTGCATGAGTTAGTATTTTATCTTGGACAATACATAAATCTATACATCAGATCAGAATTGCATAATTGCCTGTTTACGAGCAAAACTTCTACAATAATACTTTCTTGATCACTTCAACGATATTGAAAATTAGATAACAGCAATATGGTCGCGTTCATACCATAGTTGAAGTAAATCAACTCGAGTCAATTGAGTACTACCCTAATTCAGGCGAGCTTATAATTAAAGTCGAGCTCAATGTTTGGGCTTCATAATGGATAATTTGAATAAAGAACGATTTTGCTCGTAAAGAAGTAGTTATGTTTTGCACCGACTTAAATTATTAATTTTGAATAATAATTACTTGTATGGATCTTTCAGTTCTTCGGTGACGAAGTTCAGGTAATTCCATCCAGAATAAGAAAATAGCCCTGAGTAAATAGCCAAGGCAATATAACCAGGCTGTGTGTTGGTTCCATCCATGGGATGGTGAAAATTTTCCGTGTGGCCCAAGCAGAGCCACCAGAAACCAGCTGCCATGATGATCACTAATGCGAAAATTTTCGTCCCAGTGAAGATGTCTTGCACCCTAGTCGCCCACTTTACATTGTAGCAATTGATGGCAGTCAACAAACCTGTTAGTGACAGTTTATACCTCTAATTTTTAATAATTTCATTAAATATTTATTGAATGTAAAAGAAAAATACTTAGCAGACCTCTTTTTGAATAGTTGAAAAATGAGGAACATATATTGGACGACATAATTAGGTTAGCTTAGTTATAATTAAGTTACATAGAAAAATATTTGCCGGAACAAAAGTATTCGTACACTTAATTATTGCTACAATTATTTTAGCAGGAATTTTATAAATTAATGTTTTGTACGATAACCCTTTCGGCAAATCACTTTACGTAATATATCGGACATTGACAACACCAAACTTTTAACAAAGTCAGGTTCTATATTACATCATGGTTTCGCACATTTTTTTCTAGTTTCACCCATACATGTTCGACAGGATTTAAGTCCCGCAATTGTGGAGGAGTTGCTAACCTGTGGGGAGTATTGGTATTAACAACCTCTGACGCACTATACACATAGGCAATATGTTTCGCATCACAGTTTTGCTGAAAATAAAATTCATCTAATTCATAAGTCTAACTCATTCTAATTCATCTGCACTATTTTGTAAATTTTCTATTAAAATATTTATCACACTTCCATCTCTGTTCCGAACGTGCGACGGAACATAATACGTGAGGATTTCGTAGGTTGTTTATGATGGGTCCGCGTCTAACAGTTATTTTTGAAAGACAGATTTTTAGCCATCAACGGCAATTTAGTTTTCCTTTTTTCCGAACAATGCCTTTAGAATATTAATTTTCATTTCGTCTTCAATAACTACTCCATCATAAACGGGGTTTTTTCCTGAAGGGTCACCGAGAATGGGCCTCGGTCTCGTTCTAGCGGTAATTTTTAGGACAACGTGTGTGTCACCTGGAGGGAAAAACCCTGGCGTTGCCGACCTTTGAGATCCTCCCATTTCATTTAGTCTTCAATAACTACTCCGTCATAAACAGGGTTTTTCCCGAAGGGTCACCGAGGATGGGCCTCGGTTCCGTCCTAGCGGTACTTTTTAGGACAACGTGCGTGTCACCTGGAGGGAAAAACCCCGGCGTTGCCGGCCTTCGAGATCCTCCCGTACTCATCGGTATCTTTTCCCACCCTCTTCCAAAAAAGGCGCGCTCAGGGCGCAAGAGAGGGTGGGCCCAAGTCAAGGGGCATGTTGATTGGAAAATCAACGTTTCTAATGAGAACCAATCAGCATGCCTCCTTGCACTTCCGACTTTTCGAGGAAGCAACGACGAAACGTCTCGTCAGAATTCACAATCAAGTCATCCGAGTCGGACTTAAGAATCAATAGTAGTGTTAATCGTATCGGACACAAAAAAGTGAAGAATTCAGAAAACAGTTATTCAATTCGGACTAACAATTCTCACTAAGTCAATCGTGTCGGACTTAGAAGTTCTACTAAAGTCATTCGGTTCGGACTTATTATTAGTAACTCTTACGAGTCAGTCGTTCGGACTCAATTTTCAAATATTATTCTTGTATAGTACAGATTTAGTTTAAGTTTATTTAATGGATTATAATGGAAAATTTATTTGTAATGTTAAATATCAAATGTATGATAATGTTAAGTTTCTTTAATGTTAAGCAAAGAAGCGCATTTGTTTCAATTATCATATGTTTATTTTATAAGCGATTGATGCACCGATTCGCAACATTGTAATCATAGACGCGGGAATATTAGCTATAAAGGGCATATGTTATCATTAAAATCGGAAAAGTCTGATTGTGTCGACTCTCAACGGTGTAGCCCAGCGTGCGCGGAAAACTAAAGGGTTTTCTGTGGCCGTCAAGCTCCCCGCGTGCTCGGAAAGATGAAAATCTTTTCGAGGCCGCTATAGACCTCAATTGGGTAGACTTCTACCGCTATGAAGGTCCACGCGTGCACGGGAAGACGAAGTCGACCCGGGGCCGCTAAGCTACCGGCGAAACCGGCAGAGTTGACTTTTTTAATGAGTGATTATTCGAATTTATAAGAAAATTCGATAGAAATGCTCGTAAGTAGCGAGGTTCCGCGTCTATGAAGGGCGAAGCATTTTCGGACGTTATCGGTAGCGTTCGTCAACAATCGGTATCGCGTTATCGCTCCGTCGAGTCCGTGAGCGCGGAGCAGGTATTCATTCTCTTCCCAACGACCGAGTAAATAGCATTAAGACGCTTGCGTTCCTTATTCAATATTCTGGTAAAATAAAATTGGTTATATTTATTATAATTTGCATTTAAATTATTTACGCCCACGAAATCCTGTACAATTCTTAAGGTTAATTCCTTTTGAATAAACGTGCACGAGTCAGCACAACTCTGTGTTTCGTGTCGGTTGCATATTTTTAAAATCCAATTCAGTATTAGCTTTAATATACAACTATATATGATTAAATATATTTAATAATATAGGAAATATTGTTGCTTTTGTTTCTATACTTCAAGTGCACGAATACTTTTATCCTCCACTGTACATATATTAGATGGTATGTATTCTAACGAATTTTCCTTTCCCATAAAAAGAAAGAAGGAAAAAAGAAATAAAAAGAGAAGAAGAATAGAATGCAAAAAATCATATATTTAAATTTATTAATATTTTTTTGTTTAGTTTTATATTACTATTACTATTTTTATGAAGAGACGTTATGCTTTTTTACGGTTAGGAAATTTTTGGATTTCAAAAGTAATGGATATTATTGATCATTATGCTGCAACTATCACTCTTGCAAATTACCATAACTACTACACGAATTTGTACAGAGTAAAACAAAATACATAGTACTAAAATGAGAAAGCATGTTATGTTCTATCCCTATCTAAAGAATAACATCGCTGCTCGACCAATCACTTTATAGTGACCTAACCCCTTGTTTTTTCTACGTGTTCCACCTCGTTACGTTCGGGAGCACACTTGCTTCGAAATAAGTAACTGACATTCCGCTTGTTTCCAGACAAAACTGTAACGTCACAAATCACAGGATCGAACTATACATCTGTAAATAAAAGTGACCACAAAACTGAACTTACCTTCTAAATTCAGGGTCAACTTTTTTATCATCATATCATGTAGTATATGTTGAAAGAATAGAAAATACGAAAAGAGTCATATGTCGAAAATCATTCGTTCTCATAAAAAATGATATCAAAGTTTCCCATTAGCAAACATATTAAATACCCATCCACCGACCGAGGTATGAGCATCTGATAAGTAACTGTTAAGACTAATTGTAAAGCGATAAGATAATTTATTACAGATTATTTATGATAAATTTATTGTATGAGCATTACTAACATATACTATAAATCAAATTTACTTTTTATTTACTTTGAAAAGCAGTGATTATTTAATCTCTCAAAATCTGCTATACTACAATTAACCTATCTCCAAGCTCAGTGTTCTGAACTGCAATTTGAAAATTGATCGATAATGCGGATGTTTACCGATGTGTCTTAGTATCGCATGGTCTCCGGTCAGAAAATCTAACAATAAGATTAAGTTTACCGGGCTTATAAATTTACGGATAGTACCGGTTATATTTACCGCAACATGACACGTTATGAACACTTTTGAGCGGATATATAATATGTATATCACGAAATTGTGTTTGATACGAGGTCTGTCCCAAAAGTATCCGACCTTCTTTAATTTCTTCGGACCTGACAATTTTAGCGTCATTTGCCGGGTATGAGTATCAACTGCAAAGCTTTACGAATTCATCGGGACACCTTAGTTCACGTGCAACGTGCATTTATTTACGAAGCATTTTTTACGTTCGTCGCATTCTGCCGTTGTGAAAAATGACAGAAAGATCGGAGCAACGAATTTGCATCAAATTTTGCTTAAAACTCGAAAAGAGTTTTTCGGAGACCATCGAAATGACAAAAAAGACATTTGGGGACGAGTGTATGAGCAACACACAAATCAAAGAGTGGTAAAAGCGGTTCAAAGATGGTCGCACATCTGTTGGTAGTAACCCACGCTCTGGACGGCCTTTCACGACAACAACACCTAATAATGTCGAACGTGAGATCGTCGATTGAC